GATCGAAGGTTTTTCACAATGAGTATGACACCACTCAAAGTTACTCAGTCCTTAGACTTTTCTCTAATGATCCAGTGGGGATCAAAAGGTACTCTATCTAACTAACTACACTTTAGGATTCGAACAACTGTTCTCCTAAGTGTTTACAACCACTTGTGAAATATTACAAGAAGGTTCTAATCTCCAACTATGAACTAAGCTCTAAAAATATGAAAGTGTTGATCTAATCTAAGAGCTTAGTGAAGCATGAGGCTAAGCAGAGAGTAAAGTTGAGTTTTGCACTTTCTCTTTTGCTAGATAGCTTGAATATGCTTTTGATGAAGGTATTCTTCTACTTAGGATGCTCAAGCTTATTTTGAAACCTTCGGTTTAGCCTCTATTTATAGGCTTTTTGGCTGATCAATCTTATCCGTTGGTTAGGATAGTTTGATCTCTTCCGTTGAATTTCTGATGAGTACGAGTAGTACTCTTGTCCTGTTGTGCTGGAGCATTAATTTGCAGCTGATCACTTTGTCTTGCATTATTTGTGCGTCCCATGCCTTGGCCCTCAGTACTTGATCCGGTATTTAAATGCCGGTCAAGGTTTGTCTTCAATCATATACATTCAATGTATTCGAGCATCTCAAATGTGACCTATATTTAATCTTTGAGTAAAATGATATATGCCGGTAGGATTTAAATATCCTATGAAGGTAAAAAGATACCTTATTGCATTTTTATGTATCCGGTAATATATCATTAATCTTAAAGATTGTACATTTATTTTTGTCACTTATGATTTAAATTTAAATGTTACTTCTGAAAATAAGACTCAATGTAAATTTGTTTAGTATAGTGGCATCATCAAAATCTATCAAAATTGGAGACTAACACCTTGTAGTGTTGCATGAATTAAATTCTGATGATTTACCTTTAAAAGTTCCTTTGAATCTTTCAGAGTTTTGGATTCAAATGGATAATTTACTGGTAGGTTACTTGACTTTAAGGGTTGCAAAAATTATTGGCAACAATCTTGGAAGTTTTGTCAACCTGATGAGAACCAGTTTGAGGGGACTTGGAGCCTTTAGAGGTCCTACTTGAGGATCCGGGTCTACCTTGATGTACGGAAACCGCTTAGGAAAAACCCGAAAGTTCAAAAAACGAACGGGGATTGCCTATGGGTAGATCTGAGATATGAAAATCTTCCCAAATTTTGCTATGCGTGTGGGATTATTAACCATGGAGACATGTTCTGTCCACGGATTCTAGGACACCAAAACTCGGAACAAATGATGGAATTTGGCCCATGGATGAGAGCATATAGTGGGTGTAGTAGTGGAAGCGTAGGTAATAGTGGCTTGTACTAGAGAAAGGAAATAAGCATGACTTTAGTAATGATGTGGGAATGAGGGTGGCCAAACCGGCAAGGGAGATAGTAGATTTGGTTTCTGGTTCTGAAGTGTTTGCAGGCGAGAAGAGGGATGGCGAAAAAAATGGGGTTGAGGCGAGCCTTGGACAATAGGCTCACCGGGAAAACTAATGATGGGATGCGCAAGTTTGCAATTTTATTTCTTTTACTTTCAGCTTTATTTTCAGACTTTCTTTTGGTTATCGCTATGTCATTTTTGGTTTTATTAGTCAGGGCACTAGGATGTTTTTTATTTTGATTGTGGTGTGGAGCACTCAATTCGTGGGTATCTGTGGGGCAATCTCTTTCTTTTGGTCACAAAAGGCTTCAAGTTGTATGTTCAGTTGTTAGCGAATCGTTGTACTTGTAGCACATACAATTCTATGTCTAATCCTAGGGCTGGTGACCGAAATGGGAGTGTTTGTCCTATTGTTGTTCTGCGAGTTCCTGATGCTATAATATAAGCCTTTTCGTTTAAAAAAAGTACTTCACAACAATTTTTATATTTAGTATTCTAATAATAGTAATCACGTTGAAGGAAAGAAGGTTTTTAGGCGGCCATTTTCATCTCTCAGTTTTTAGGGGTGGTTCTCCTTTGTTAAATGCAATAATTATTTTAAGCTAACTTCTTCATCTATCATGAATACTCATGATCGATCATGCTCCACATGTCTCTAATGGAAAAGTCAATTGTTCATCCATCTAGAACCATTACCGTTCTTTATGATGCTTTAGCATCAATTTGTTTGCAGTACTCAAAGGATGACGATTCGTGGTGGTCTGGTATGTGTTGGTGATAGTAGTAATGAGTTATGGGTCTGGTTGAACTTGTGGTTTGTTGGTTGAAGACATTCTTGTACCTTTTTTGTTTCTTATGCTATTCATATTAAACTCCTTATCTATTTTTATTGTATGTTGATTAAAAACATGCATGAAAGCCGATTGGGCAATGTTGCTTTGTTTTGTTGTTCATGTGGTGTGATTTGTATTGCTCCTTTGGAATGATCATCTCTATTCATGATTTGCTAAATTGTTGGAAGTACCAACGAGTATGTGTTATTAGTTACAATTCTTGGTGTTTACTATAATTGAGTTCCCTTATAAAAGCAACAAATCTAATCAAAGAACCAACATGTTTAGTACCAAACGCTTATCTAATACTATCTATGAGACATAGGGACCGTACTGACTCCTTCCCATTCAAATGAGCTTGTCGCCCCACGCTCAAACCTAAGCGTGCATCAAATTTCATCAAAACAATGCCTCCCATTTAACAATTGTAGCTTCGATAGCGTAGTCGTAGTAAAATTTCTTCCATATATCAGTGTATATCTGATCATTGTATTGCCTGCTTGCTTTTCGTGAGGTGCTTGTAACATAGAGCCCCTACACGAGTCCACTTGTCCACCTATGGATTAACCACCTTAGTTTTAATCATAACATTTTTAAATTGCATTTGTATAATCTGATTTATTGTTTGTATAGTCTTCATAATGTCTTCTATCCGTCTCATCGGATATTTGTGAAAAAATAGTGAAATTTTCTATAGGCTTTTCAAGCTTAGCTTGTGTAGTCACAATACATTTTCTTGCAAATGGTATAACTTTGTTTTAAGATATTGAATCAACAATTCTATCAAAGCTTAATCCGCTAAGGCATATGAAACAAACGTCCCTGAGGACGCTCCTCACAAAAGAACCATATGCCAGAGCCCAAGACCCATGAGATTGGGAGCTCTTCCGAAGAAAAACAAGGGAGGAGAATGACTAGTCAAGGCGAGTATAACGCCCTTGAGCCCCTCGAAGCCGATCCTGAGCAAGCGTCACCATGGTTAATGCTTATTACCCTGGGGTTGATAGGGGTGTTTGATACCAGGATGGCCATCATCATCGACTCGTTGTGGTTATCACTTTGTGTCACGCGGATACCCACCCTTGGTGGCCACATCATTATGATTGAAGGCCATTTTACCGGATCCTCATCGAATAAGGAGGCACCATCTATAATGGTCAAAGCATGGGAGAAGAGGGGTGCCATAAAGGGAAAATGAACACTGGTGGTTTGAGCTAAATTAGATTATGTGAGTGATTGCACCACAACCCAAGTGTATTATAAGTGACAGAACAATTAAGTCAAAGTTAATACAAAAGATAGACAATTCCACCTTCTCCCTTAATATTTTGGTCATTGTTTTTCATGTGTTGTTTCCTTTTATTTACTCACCCAATTTTGAATAGGTATGAGTTGATTATTGTTAGGAATTAAACTCACGCTCACGATGAATAATAAGAAGAACACACGAAATTTGGTAACCCAGTTCGCCACGAATGACTACGTCTGGGGGCGCTACCAAATCAGGAATATTATTGCTATTTTCGGATCTACACACAATGATTACAAGAGAGAGAGCTTGTATTTATAGAGAAGTAAATCCTAACCCCAAGGCAACTAGGATGCGTTTCCTAAAATAAATTAAGAAACATGTTTCCAAAAATAAATTAAGAAACTGTCTCTAACACCTTACAATCTCCCACCTAGAGACTGTCTTCTTCAAACCTCCCTTGTAAGCACGGTAGCGCCGGCCTTCATCTTCAAGTACTCAGGCCAATTGAAGCTATGCAAAGCTTCAATTTCTCCAAGGTTACCACCTTAGTAAACATGTCTGCTGGATTCTCACTCCCACGGATCTTCACAAGCTTCAATGCCTTTATCTCCAGAAGATGACGGATGTAGTGATACTTCAACCGAATGTGTTTGGTTTTCTTGTGAAAAGCTGAGTTGTTGGCCAAGAAGATAGCACTTTGACTGTCACAGTAAAGAATGCTATTCTTGCACTCCTTCCACAGTTCCCCAAGTAAATTCTGAAGCCACACCATCTCCTTACTTGCCTCCGTAATGGCCACATATTCAGCTTCAGTGGTAGATAATGCAACAATCTTCTGCAGCTGCGAAAGCCATGAAACCGTCGTTCCACCAAATGTAAAAACATACCCAGTGGTGCTCCTCGATCCATCCGAGTCATTCGATGCGAGGTCTGCATCAACATGTCCTAGCAGCTCTACATTCTTCCCATCAAAACACAAAGCATTAAAAGCACTACCTTTCGAATACCTCATGATCCACTTCACAGCTTCCCAGTGTTCTTTCACGGGGTCTCCCATGCATCTGTCCCTTGGTGATCTTCCAATTTCTGCTGTCGAATGTAACTGCATAACCTTCCTCATCCAGCTGCCCAATTGAAAGTAGATTTCTCCTCAAACCAGGAATGTGTCGGACTCCATTCACTTTCAGCATGCATCCATTCGGAGTCTCTTTGTAAGTAATACGATTATACGAAGCATAATAATTTCACCTATCTCAAACTACATCCAAACATTTTTTTTATTACATTCACCTGAACTAACTTAATAATTGTCGAAGTTACATTTTTATGTATACACTAAATCACTAATGCACCTAACTTCATATTTTCTTTACTAAACTAAGTTCACTTAATCCAAACAAAGAGCAAGCACATATTTGATAGAGCTTTGGTTGGGATGGGCTCAGGAGTCCGGAGTCATGGCACCTGATTCATATGTGCAAATCCTGCCTAATGAAATTAGGCCAGTGTTTATGAGAGACATAATTATTGAATATAATAAGCTCATAATTAATGAATGGACAAGAATAAAAATTATCCAAACAAATAATAGAAACATTTATATGATGCTATATGTCACCAAGTCAAATTTGTGCTGGCACAGTAGAAACATATCTACAGAATATTCCAAACTATGAAGCCACCAAAATCAATCCATAAAAAGCTATCAACCATAGACAGAGATGGAGATCCAAAGCTCCATTACCCCAAAAATACCACGACTCCAGAAAAATGCGCCTTTCCAATGTCAACTGGATAGAAAACCAAGCATGGATCAAGTGATGCACAATCACTCCTACTCAACAAAGCGAGATGAAATGCATTGATTTTTTTGTTATCTCTGGAGTTTTCCGATGGAGTGCAAATACACAGAGACTGATACAACACTGCACACAACAAGTGGAAGCACACATGAGTCGCTGTGGAAACACTGCATATACTGAGGTCACACGGTTTATCTAGGACTTACATTGATCCCAGAAAGAAAGCGAGTGAAAGATGAAATCCAAAAAGGAATACCGATACAACAGCTGTCAGTAACATTGCAACAGAAGTAGCATATACCTACACACAGCAGATTCAAGAAGCAAAGCAAAGATGAATTTCCTGATGGCTCTCAACATTTTTTGTATTGTTTCAACATTAAGTTGTCAATCATATTAGAGAAACTATTAAATGTAATTGAGTCCAGATCTTGTGCTTGTAATGATCTTATATTTTGATAACATGATTTTCTAAACAAATAGATAAAAAGAATATTAAAAAGTAAACAAAAAAATTGATGTGGTGTATACAGTTGTGCTTAAAAAATAAGTATATGGTCTTGGTTTTAGTGCTCCATAGATTAATTTAAACTGATGAAAAGCTTGTACCTTCATTTAGACCTAAGCCAGAACAATCCAAGAAAATACACCAAGCATCACTCAGAAGTAGGGTTTCCTAAGGGTGAGGTGTACACAGGCCTTAACTCTATCCCTGTGAGTAGAGAGGCTGTTACCTTAAACACCTGGCTAAGGAAAATTTCTGAAGTTCTAGAAAAACTTGTAATGTAGTTAGACCTATTTCATATAATGCAATTTTGCGATACTTCTGCCTATTAATCTACTGGTTTTTTACTTTATAACTAGAGTAATCAACTTAAAGAGTACTAAAATATGACTTCCTTTGGTTTAATACTTCACTTTGGGGGGGGGGGGGGATGACTTTGAATTCACTATAGAAGTCCTAGGCCTCAGTCAGGTACATGTTCTTGACCACTTAGTTGTTTTCTTAATATCTCACACCTCAACTATCAATCAACTATCAATCATTGCTTTGTCTCTTAAATATCTTTTTTCCAACTCTCTCCCTCTAGTTACTATTAGTTCCCTTCAGACTAGCGAGTCAAGGCGTTGCTTGGTAAATGGTAATATAGACTTCACTTCCTGGGATTCCACACTACTCGCCATTATGTTACTTTTTGTCTTTTTGAGTCACGGATCACGGACGTGCAAAACTTGAATGTATAATGGGCATCAAATTCTGCCTTAATCACGAGTATGGGAATTAGAAGTAACATGACAATTAGCTATGTGAGTGGAATAAAAAAGAAATCCCCAGTGTTACCTTCACAATATTGTCAGCGTACTTCATTACCATTGATACAGCTAGACCACTGTCCAAGATAGCAGGCCAATTAGAAATGGAAAAAAATGTATACCACTGGAAAAAATTGTATAGTACTAGTCATTAAATCAATCTGTAAATTGATGTAAACCTCATTTAGTTTCATTTTAAGTACCAAGTTGAATACAAAATATACCTCAGTGCATGGTTGAGAATCATGAGAACTGTAATAAGTGAATATCCATGGAAGAAACCCCTGCGATATACAAAACCATAAGTTGTTATTCTAAGGAAAGAAGGCATTTCACTGATGTATCATATCTTCCATAGTTGAAATAGCATGTGCATTTAACCCTAATAAAACAGTTTTTCCACTTCACTAAACTCAAAAAATCATAGGTCAGGAAAGAAAAGGGCACTTGCAAATGTAAATTTACTTGTCCACAACTTCGTCAAAATCTTGAATGACTATTGCAATAGCATTGAAGACCATTCCAAAGACATATAGCCAGAAGTTTTGAACATTAATATTCCTTGAAGGCCGCTTCTTTATTATTGCCTGCATGAATAAAGCAAATAATAAACTAAAACGCATAAATAAAACTGCCACAGGTATTTGGCAACTTCTTTTCTACGCTTGTGGCGCTTCATAGCTCACCTGGTTTTCTTTTCAAGCCTAGCTAGAATGGTTGTATAGCTTATGCTGTCACACACTTCATATAAATGGGCACATTATAGAGCAAGATGATAAGTTTAATAGCTCAGGAGCAGACTACATTGACCATTGGGAGTTCACGTTCAGTTTCTGTTGGTGCTTATTATTAATAATAAATACTCCCTCCGTCCCATTGGACTTTGCCAACTTTCCCTTTTTGGTTGTCCCAAAAAAACTTTGTCACTTTCCCATTAAACTATTTTGTGGCTCTACTCATTTCTCTCTCCTCTGCACAAACTTCAACCACACAATTTTTACTATTCTTATTTCTCACTTAATTCAAGGAGTGCAAAGTCCATTGGGACAGATGTAGTAATAAATATATTCAAATGTTGCTTTTTGATTGGTTGTGTTAGTGCCTTAGTGGGCTGTAATTTTTGAGTAATCTGCTTTTTAGAATTTTGTAACCAAACCTTTTCTGCTTAAAGGAAGGTTTACGTTGAATAAGATAAAAGAGAAAATTGCCCCAAATAGGAAGGAAAAAATACATTAACCTATACTCATACTACGTTGTGTACCAGTGCTTCTTTTTCCTACAGTTATAGGAAATAACAGCGCACTAACACACTATCACCAACCATTGAAACAAAAAGATTCAAATATAATTATAAAAGCAAGAGACCCAGATTATAAAATCCCAATAATCAAGGTAGTCTGCTTTAGAGCTTGCCAATAAACATATGAAATGAGTCAAAATGACAATGGAGAAAATAGACACAAATAATATAATTTCTTTGGTCACGGTGATATTTAAAGAACTACCCTTGGAACTAAATACTGAAAACGGAATAGCAGGTTAAAAAGTATACCTCTGTGTAAACTCCAGCAAAACCACTTAGAAGAGCCATAACCTGAATGTGTGATGCAAAAAGGTGTAAACAAGTATAATTTATTAATAAGTTCATAGAACTCTATTTCTCTAACTTTAATAATTATATTATGTCTTGAAACTTCTGCAACTTACAATAGCCATAAGCCAACCTTGAACAGGACTTTGGAGAATATGATCAGAGCTGCAAGGAGAATGTAATCCTGTTAGGACCATGCAGTGTGAGGCATGACAGAAGTAGGTACAGCCATATCAGTAATTTAAAAATACAGCAAATTTTATTCTTGACATTACAATACTAATAATATTCACATTAGTCACCCTTGGTAGTCTACGTGAAGAACCTCACCTAGGATTAAGTTGTGCTGTTGTACATCCTGCACAAAGTAAAATGAAAGCTGCCCATTGAACCTCACTCAACCTAAATGAGAAAGTGGGTAAAGTTTTAGATGCATACACTTTGCAATTTGAAGAATTTGAGGAAACTCATGCATTACTATCCTTGAGAAAGGTGCAGTTCATATAATTGGTTGTAGAGTTTATCAGAAATTATTCAGGAGCATTGGTTTTTTTAATACAAACTCTCAGTCAGCTACAAGACACAAACAGTGCCTGCTAAAAATGTGAAATGGGCCACATCTTATCTCCGAACTAATTAGGTGAGCCCAATATCACTCCATGGAGTTACGTGGCATCACCAACACAACTTAGTTTCATAGGGGACCCTCCACTATAACTCCACTATGAAAACGAGTGGTTATGGCGAGGCCACATAAGCCTAGATGACTCCATAGTGGAGCCACATAAGGCTCCAGAAATTTTTTGTTAAATAGAGAGGATACATTTTGAACAGAAGCAGTTTTCTTAAATAATGAAAAATATAGAACAGATGTTTTAAACTAAAAAAGTGCATATCCTCCCAATTTCTATCCAATTGGAAGTGGAAAGCATGTCCACTCCTTTCTCCTGTACATCCCTCTTACCAAACTAATGATTTTCCTCCAAAACCGTGTTTTCCGTTGGGGAATAAAATCATCAACACCCATGTGGTCGGCATCTAAGTTGTACTTAGCAATCCATTAGACCATTATAAAGGATTTGTTTCTTCACTCCTACTTTATTCATGTAATTCATGTAACACTAACAACACGAAAAGAAACAAAACCAAAGGACAGAATCTAGAAGCTGGCAATGCAATATATGGCCAGGTCAAGGATGCAGATTTCTTATGGCATGTGTGTTGGAGACTTGGAGGTGATCTTCACTGTTTCGGAACCTGAACTTCTGGTATATATTTAAGCAGGTGATCAAATGGCTTCTACAACTAGCCAAATCTTTTAAGTAAGACATTCAAACAAGTAATCCAAAACAATGAGAAAATGTATATAATAAACAAGAGCAACATTAAAAGATCCTAAGCCACTATGAAGCATTTTACAATTATTTCTATTTTTATCTTTTGATAAGTAAGCTTTTCATTAATAAGAAAAAACAAAGGGGCCACTGCCCTGTGGATGGTAGAAATAATATGCTCCAAAAAATAAACAACAAACAAGACGCTGAATTATTAATCATTACTCAAGAAAATGGTGAAAGGGCTTACTTCCTCTTAAGAATAATTTGATACAAAACACCAGTGCTGATAATGTTCAAGTTCTTTAGTATCTGATATCCAGGAGCATCTACATATGCAAATATGTAATACTGTGACACACCAATAATTTTAAATCAGAGGTTATAAGATGGAAATTCGAAGTGCTTTTCATTACAGGAAAAGTTCAGAGCCAACCTGCAGTAAATTCTTGACAAGGTACAGAGCAGCGGGAATTGGATAAACACTGACCTCATCATATGTGGTGCTTAACCTAAATATAGAAACAGAAGAAATAACAAAAAAAGGTGTTATTTAAAAAAAAACAAAGAAATGTGTTTAACCTCAAATAAAGTTGGGGGGTTGTATTCTATAAGGCCGTATCGCAGGTCTCATTTTGTGAGATGGACCAAAATATGTGCCAACCAACATCCAAATCATCATTTATCGCATCACAAGCCATACCAAGTTATGGGTTACAAATTGAAATTCTTCGTCCTCCCATCTGAGACGAAGAGTTGATGTTCGTCTCCCAGATTAGGAAACAACACACACACACATGCATAAAATAAAACCTGTTATCATCAGTAACGCCGTCTTTTCTCCAGATTCTCATTAAAGCTGCAAGTGACAGTGCACACTTCAGAGCCTCTACCTAATGATAAAGATGGAAGCAGAAGATTAAGAAAATAATATATTCAGTATCTCATTACATAACATAACCTTCCCATCCTCCAACTCAAGAGTTCCCAATTCAATAATCCACGGTTTTACTTTAAATTTTAAAAAATTCCAATGCTGGCAAAAAATAAGGCCTGTGTCATTCACTAACCAAAAAGTTTGCAGTTGTAACACTGTACTCATACTTTCCAGCTCTCTTTGACCAGACAATGAGTATTGCTTGTGAACTTGTAAGCACGGTCAATGCAAGTGTCACCATTGACCTAAACTCAACATGAATGGAAATGAAAAGTGTATAGCTCCAAATAGTTTAAGAAAGTATGCTTGGAAAATAAAATAAAAACAGCAACCAAGCTCTTGTTCCTACTTGCGCTTCCACTTAGATCGGTCACCTGGGCTTGCCCCTACGGCGGCCACAATATTGAGAGAGCCTGCATAATCGAAACTCAATACTTACCCACATAAATCAACCAGGGAAAGCAGATCCCCACCTTACTCCCAAAAGTGTTACCAAGACATCCAATCCAATTATAATTAATATAAAAATACACCTGACCTGAAACAGCTTTCGTGGGTGAGCTTTCAATATCATCAACAGATGCCTCATGCTTGTCCTAACAGAGGGTTCGATATTTGACAAATTTTTCTAGTAATTAGTATTTTCGTTTTAGATTCCTTATAGGTTGGTTGTAGGAGTAAAAGTTAACCAAAGAGAGATATAAAGCTGCAAATGCTTGAAATGAATTGTGAACAAAAGAGAGCCAAATCAAAAACCTGATCTTTAATTTTCCTGTACTCCATTGACAGAAGTATTCAAATTTCTCACTCTTATAACCCACTATTCACGAGCATGGAACGCACACAAATGTGTCTAAATGAACGAAGACATTGCAGGAGGTGAGAGCCCGAGTGGGAGACAACATATATACCATATTACCATAAGAATGGATGAAATGAAATACCATAAAAGAGCGTGTACACTGTACAGGAAAGCGACTTGTTGATGCTCCTCTCCAACCGGCTACAACTGAGTCCCGAATCCAGAACTAGCGCAGCATCAGATCGCGCGCATTGATTTTATTTTTTATTACTCAGGATTATTATTATTATTATTCCAGAAAAATTACTTGGCGCACCTCTAGATGTGCTGGGCGCAGCTTTTCTTTCCCACGATTGGACAAATTCGTCCTCTCTTATTTCCTCCATTGTATTCGTCCATTGTTAATCACAAAACCTTTTGGATGTTCCCGATTTAACCTATACACATATTAAAAAAATAAATTTATTGAGGTAAATTAAAGTGGAAACATCTCAATGGGATAGAGGGAGTATTAATTATTTACTACGTACGAAGTAGTACTTAATAGGAGTACACACGCCGGCCACACCCAGCTAACGTTAATTGGTTAACCATTTGCAAAATTGATTTTTATCTAATAGTTTTAAACAATGTGGCAAGCAATTATTATTTTATAAAATGTGGTAACTTTTTCAATTGTCCTCCAGATTTTTACAAACAATATATGAAATTAAGTCATGTTTAAGCTTGATCCAATGAACGACTGATTAATGTATATTTTACTTAAGTATAAATTTAGGAAACATTTACTATGAACATTAATTTAGTTCCCTAAGTATTATCGAATTGATACTTTTAGTCCTTCTACTATCATTTTGATATAATAAGTGGACGACTAAAAATGTAAATATTATAATAATTGAAGGATGAAAAGTGTCACTTTTATGATAGTCGAAGAACTAAATGTGGAAATTTTCATAGACATGTACTAAAAGTATTTTTCACACAATGGTCGAAGAACTAAATGTTGAAAAACTCAAAGTCGAGTATCAAAAGTGTCAGTGACATAATATATAGAGGACTAAAAATGACAAAAACTCTTGTTATATTACATACTCCGTATAAGGGAAAACTGTCAAATAGGTCCTCGAACTTTCATAAAAAGGTCAATTAAGTCCTTCTATAGGAGGTATTGTCCGGCCCTCGCGATTTGGAATGGAAATTAGACCAAACTTCGATAATTGTATAATACAAATAGAGCAAAACATTTAGAATGTCAATCATATAACTATGATTGCTACTATTTAGAATGTTTTTAATTGAATTAAGTATTAATCCTAGACAAACTTAAACAGAGCAAATTAGACCAAACTTCGATAATTGTATAATACAAATAGAGCAAAACATTTAGCAGACCATATTAGATTAAACCAGACTTTGACATACCTGCCCAGACCATATCAAATTGGCTCAGATCAGATCAGAAAATTTTAGTGTAATCAACAACATTCTTATTAAATTTGGCATTACAATTATAAATTAATGTCCATAGTAAATGAATTTATGTCAAACTAGTATACGACCCGTGCGTTGCACGGGATGCAATATGTAGTTATTGTTAATATTAATATATAAGTACAATTATATATTATAATACTTCGTATTACTTACTACGTATTACTTATCAGTTATCACACGAATGACACAAATCCTAAATAAATAATAACAAATACATAGTAACAGATATTAGAAGTAGGGATGACAATAGTGACTATTCCGATGGATACTCGCATCGAACTGCTCCGATCAAAACGGGAAAACCGCATTGACTGGATAACGAGTATGAGGTGGGGAATTACCGTTTTATTTCTACGTGACGATTACAGTTTTATATATGGCAGCCCCATTATATACGTATTTTCGAATGGCCCGTTTATGTTTAGTTATATTTTGATTACAATACTATATTGATCAAAAGGTTCAAATTTCAAGGATATCATTCGTCTCATTCGATATCATAATTCCTTTTAAATTTCAATACATTCATTTCCAAATCATCATTTCATTTGCCACAATAATAAAAAATAAGTCAATTACAATTTCTGCATTAAACAACATATATCTACCAAAATTTGTTTTTACACATAGTCAATTGTACGATGCCACGAGTCACCTCAGAAAGTGAATTGAAGATTCTTATATGTGATTAAGAAATTCGTTCTATCAACAATACCATCAATAATATGGTCTATACAAACTTTTTCCAAAAGTTGTGACCCTTATTATACAGTGACAACAAATATGACACTTAAAATTTATAAAGCTTCCTAAGGGCCATCAAAGGAGACATTAAAATCGTGGAATCATGGTATATTATTATCAAGTAGTACTTATTTTTTGCACCTTACTAATTATTTTAAATTTGCTTGCAGATTTTCATACAATCAACATTTTCCTTTTTCTTACAAACTACCATTATATAATCAAAGTTACAACATATAAACTCTACTAAATTTTTTATTTAAAAGAATTGCATATTACATACCATTATAAATAAAGTTAATTTTAGAGAAATTGTTATTCTGTTCTAGATGTACCAGACTACCAGTGCATCGAACAATAAAAATATATAAATTGATGATGATTTATAATCCACATGGATGTAGAAAAAGTCTAATATCCATTAAAGAAATTGGAGAAAAAAACTTGTGTGACTAAAACGTATGTATCATCACGAATATATTATCAACAATCTAATACATTAACAACTTAAGATGATAAATCTAGCGATACCAGTGCAAAACCTAAGCATTCATCTATTTTTCTTTTGTATATCAAATATCCCCAGAAGACCTGTTTGAGCCACTTACTCAGCAACATACATGTCTTTCCAAAAGTTGCTTGCTTTAAGGAAAGCCTTTGAAATATGCCATGTTCTATATCTTCAACATGAAGTCTTCACCCAAATGTTCAGCAGTTCTCATCTCACACCAGTCAATAACATTGATCATTGTTTCAACATCAAACTGGATACTTCTAAATATGCTTTAACCCATTGATTTCATTCAGTCACAATTTCAGAAAATTCGGCTTCATTCACTCATTTTAATCCAGTTCCTGTGTATATACCTATCAAGTACATAATCAGAAGGGTCTGACCACTGTTACTACAAACATAAGCAATAACCGGACATGTTAGGGGGATTCTTTGTAGTATTATCTATGTAGGGGCAGGGGTTGGGCCATTGGACATATATGATCTTAATGGATACTCCCTCCGTCCCAAAATCGTTGGCCAATTTTGACTTGCACGTGAATTAATAAAGTAAAAACTTTGTGGTTGAAATTTGTGCAGAGGAGAGAGAATTAACTTTAGCCACATATTCCTTACTTTAAATGGAAATGACCAACCTTTTTGGGACGGCCAGAAAAGGAAATTCGGCCAACCATTTTGGGATGGAGGGAGTATTAAAAATAGAAAGCCAACACAGTTGCACATCTGTAATGTCTTATCACTCTTTCCTTATTAAGAAAACTCAATTATTTCCACACTTCCATATTTATTGGAAAACCCAATTATCTCCACACGTCGTCACTTCCATATGTATTGGATCAACAAAGCTTCAATTCCCCACTTCTGGCCAAGTCATTGTAATCCTAATTATCCCCAAAAATCTCCTTCAATAACATGTTCAAGCATACATCTTAGTAGTTGAATTAGGTTGATTTGGGCAAATTAATAGTTTGGACTACAAAGGTCCACCATTTTGCTAATATCAAATAAATAGTTGAATTAGGCGACTATTTATAAATAAATCACATATGAATAAGGGTCTTGTAATTTACCTTTACCAAACACAATTAGTTTCCTTCAGAGTTCAATCCTTGATCATTAGTAAATGATCATTCATTTACCTGAGGGTGGGTCTCATTCATGGAATTGCTGAACTGAAGAAGAAAATGGGAGATTTGCTTTAATTGATGAACATGCCTATTTGTCCGAAATATCCATCAGAAACTACTAAATTGGATGAAGGCTATTGTTTTTAGGAATTGATACTTGTAGAATTCAAATCATATATCGAACAGCTTGGAAAAATAACTTGTGATTAGTTTAGAACAAAAACTAAAAAACTAAAAACTATAGTGTTTCTGAATCAAACCGCATAAATATGAATACACTAAAGAGACCCCAATTTTCCAGGCCAATTGTGAATAAATACTGTTTTATCCCGAGTCTGACAATCATAGCCTCATAGGTTAATCATAATTAAGTCTATTCTCATGTACCACTCTAGATTATCTTCCCAGGTTACCTAGCTTTATGATCTTCCTATCTGGTTTTGCATTATTCCTCTTATGCTGGACCGGGCTAGACCGCAAATTTCTATCTCGAGAAAGCTCATCTATCAACCCTTTTATAACAAATGCAGATCAAAAGAAAAAACATGAAATAAAGTAAAATATGTTCCACTTATAGTGCTTTTTAGATCTAAGAAGTGATAGCATCATAGAAAAAGCAAAGACAGTAGAGGCTATTGATAACAATTCCATTAGCTGGTGGTGGAGGTGGGGCATACGACGAGGACGCTGCTAGGATAGTGAGATTTTAATAAGCCTGAATTTGGTCTTCTAGTTAAACCTTAAACTATTTTGCGTCCTTATCTCATAAAATGGTTCCTTATCAAATACATTTTTGAGATCCCAGTCACCATTGGGTTCACCATTAAGTGGGTTATAGGCAAATGAAATTGCAGCAATATAACACATACATGAAAATAGTTTTTTCCAAATTTCGATTCTTCCTTCTTATAAATTAATGTCTTGTATGTCAAATTTCGATTTCTTATGAATTAATGTTTCCTATCAGATTTTTAAAAAAAAATTACATATGTAATATTGCTGTCATATGAAAGATCATATGAATTTCTTTAATTTGGTATAATTTTGTAAAAATGGATCACAAATGAAGAAGTGATAACATTTTATAAAAAATAGGGATAAGGGTCAGATAGAGCCTCGAACTTGAAAAAAAATGTCAAATAAGGTTATATTTAGGATGCTCTGTCCGGACGACGCCATTTGGGGCGGTTCCCGGTGGTATTTTTTGATGAAATTTTTTGAGAATCTTATTCATTAAGTCTAGTTTACGCATATCAAATTTGAACTAAAACTTTAATCGGGAAGGCATTCAAATTAATTTTTGAAGATAACTGTGCAGTTAAAAGCGCAGTTATCTTCAAAAATTCATTTGAATGCCTTCCCGATTGAATTGTTAGTTCAAATTTGATATGAGTAAACTAGACTTAATGAATAAGATTTTCAAAAAAATTCATCAAAAAATTCCACCGGGAACCGCCCCAAATGGCGTCATCCGGACATAGCATCCTAAATATGGCCTTATTTGACATTTTTTTCCAAGTTCGAGGCCC